GCCCCCTCCTCATCATCAGCTGCACACTAAAATCACCAGGAGCTGCCTTTGGAAAACCAGCATTGCTTCCACCCCATGCCATTCTGATGGCATCGGTCGCAGGCTTTGGATTCTTTTCAAAACCCCAGGGATGATTCCAAGGTGTAGCTGTCCTGAGCTGTCTGATGTTATCATGACATCTGGTATTTTTCAAGAAAGAACTTTCCCATAGATTATCTCATTGAATCCTCAAAACAACCCTATGCGCGAGGGTAGACCGAGACTGTGGCGCCTTTTCCCAGATGAGGAAATGGAGTCCCTGAGCGTTCCTCCTCCATGTACCACAGCTGCTCAGAGCACAGCCAGGACACAAGCTCAAGTCTACACGGTCAACTCTGGTGCCCTAGACAAGAACTCTTCTAGGCAAGACAGCTGGCTAAAACACTCCACCCCCTCTTCACGAGGGAGGCCTCAGCTAATTGAAAGGCTACAGCAAGACCCGGATTCAGAAGCACAATGTCTTTTTTTCAATATCAAATCCTAGCATCTAATGAGAAGACTGCCCTGCCAGCCACACGCCCGCAGTTTGGATGTGAGGCTGTTTTATCCCTGAGGTGCGCTAGGTACTGTGCCTGGGGCCCACCACCTTTGCAAGTGCTTACCATAGTGCTAGAGGAGGGGAACATCATCGGCTCTGAAATACTGAAAGCCAAGTGCAAACTAATAATACATTAACACTTGATTGATATATACAAACACCAGGACTGACCAACTTTAGTCTGCATTAACATTCTATAGAATTTGAATGCAATTTGTAGGTTAGATTTTTCTTGCTTCGCCTTGCACAATGAGCTGCAAAACCTGAGAAACTGTGGCTAATCATAAAATAAATGAGTTACTTGGAGCCATATAATTTCAAAAGCAAAATCATAAAAGTCCTTTGAAGTTTTTTATAGCAAAATATAAATTTTGCTATAACGCGGGTGCCTTTCATATTGTTGATATCATGTGAGGTGGGCCCATCAAGATTAGAAACTGCCCAGGGCCAACAGAGGACTTAAAATAGCCCTGGTTATATGAAGGCCACGGTGTGCATTGCCCCCATCCCAAACCACCCTGCCTACGGCTGCTGGTGACAGGACCAGGATAGCCACGCCCACAGCCCTGGCCTCGCCTGTGCCTGGGGAGCAAGCCCAGGAACCCCCACCGTTGATCTTGGTGGGGCAATAGAAAGATTTGGCAGATAAAAATGAGGACTTCCTCATGGCTTTATCAATGTTGATTGATGGAAATCTCCACTGGGCTTTGATTTCTTTTTAACGTTCTAAGTTCTTAAAGTCTTAAAATGATGCAATCTATAATTTATTCTCCTCCTTGGCTCCCCACACTTCCGTGAACAGCTTTCCCACAAGTTGCTCCGTGCTCCTCGACAGCTTACACTTGATTAGACCAATGGGCCTGTCATCCGAGACTTGGAATCTCTGATACATTTCTCTTCCTCGCCCCTCCTTAAATGGTTCCCTCCTCTACTCTCTCCTCGCTTCCCTCTTTCTCCTTCCTTCCCCCCATTCCCATCACATTCAGCCTCTACAGGGATAGATACTCAGAATATAGAACTGACAAGGGCAGGGGACCTACTGTAAGAACTGATAACTAGTGGAGGGGGAGATAAGGTAAACAGATTTTTCAATAAATTATTGGAATCCAAGATCCAGGTGTATAAGTGGGATCATAGGTTTACAGAAGAGGATGTAGAAATGAGAGGAAGAGGCCAGCGCCACAGCTCACTAGGCTAATCCTCTGTCTGTGGCGTCGGTACCCTGGGTTCTAGTCCCTGTAGGGGCGCCGGATTCTGTCCTGGTCGCTCCTCTTCCTGTACAGCTCTCTACTGTAGCCTGGGAAGACAGTGGAGGATGGCCCAAGGGCTTGGACCCTGCACCCTCATGGGATACCAGGAAGAAGCACCTGGCTCCTGGGTTCAGATCAGCGCAGCACGCCGGCCATAGCAGCCATTTGGGAGGTGAACCAACGGAAGGAAGACCTTTCTCTCTGTCTCTCTCTCACTGTCTAACTCTGCTTGGCAAAAAATAAATAAATAGAAATAAAAAGAAATGAGAGGAAGGAAGATTATAAATCTCTATTTGAAGAAGCCAAAAAAGTCTTCCCTAAGAGCATCCCTTGCCCAGGAATGCAATGTTGTTCTGATTCCATGGTGTTTAGAGGCAATTTGGGGGAAAGTTGAGGGGAATAGGCCAAAAATGCCACTGTCTAAAATACTTGTGTGAGGCCCCTGGCCATTCTGTCAAGTTAGGGAATATAATTTTATGATGCTACTGAATATACTTTATATACACATTCATTTAATAACTTTCACCAAGGGTTTTGACCCAGAGATGTGCTTGTCTTCCTACAATGAATTGGCATGAAAGTGAAGTAGTTAACCAGATTTCCCTTTTTGCCTTAGCAGCCAGGAGGCTTAGAGAAAAGTTCCATGCCTATTAGAAGGAATATCTCATCCTTAGGCTATTGTGGAAGATATAATTCATGATTAAAACTGGTGATCTCCAAAGTTATAGTAGGGCCCAGCCCACAGGATGGAGTTCCTGGCTCCTGGCTTTGGTCTGACCTAGCCCAGCTCCAGTCACTGCAGCCATTTGAGGAGTGAACCCGCAGAGGGAAGATCTCGCTCTCTGTCACTCTGCCTTTTAGATACATTGTGGGGAGCAACTGGGAGCAACTTGGACTAGACTAAGTTACTGGAATTAAGACTTATTCTATGCATCTGCTCTCCCACAATATGGCGCTGAGAAGGGAGGAAACAGCTTCTACACAGCTGCCTCCAGTTCAACCAATAAACAGCAGGACCTGCTCCTGATTGCAGGAGAGCAGCGTACTCGGCGTGTGGGTAGCAGAGTTGGGATTGGTGGAAGAGGACTATAAAGGAGGAGAGAGACAACATGCACCAGGAACATCTATCTGAAGGAACACCTGTGCAGCCCCCGAGAGAGCCGGCCGGCGGTGTGCCGCTCCCCCGCGGAAGTGGGGAAAGTGGCAGGGGGAATTGCCCTTCCACGGAGGTGGAAGAGTCGGTAGCCAACCCGGGAAGAACCAGCAGCAAACCTGGGGAGGGCCGAGCAGACGAAAGAACAACGCAGGGTCCTGTGTCGTTCCTCCACGAAGACGGGGAGCGACAATACATAAATCTTTTTTTTCTTTTAAAAGATTTTTATTTTTATATTATTTATTTGAGAGAGAGAGCACATTAGAGAGAGAGACAGAGAGAGACACACACAGAGAGAGAGAGAGAGAAACATAGAAAAAGGCCTTCTATCTGCTGGTTCAATCCCCAAATACCCACAACAGCCAGAGCTGAGCCAGTCAGAAGCCAGGAGCCAGGAGCTTCTTCTGGGTCTCCCATGTGGATACAGAGGCCCAAGCACCTGTACATCTTCCACTGCTTTCCCAGGCCATAGCAGAGAGCTAGATCGGAAGACAGCAGCTGGGACTCAAACCGGTGCCCATATGGGATACTGGTGCTGCAGGCAGAAGCTTAACACGCTACTTCAAAGTGTCAGCCCTCAAATAAATAAATCTTTTAAAAAATTATATTCAGAGTGTTAAAGTAACTCTTACTCTTCGATAATAGTAAGATTTAAAATCCAATAGAACATGGGCAAATTGCTTGAACGGGCACCTAAATGAGATGCACAAAAGACTAATAAATGTAAACAAAGGAACTCAACCTTAGAAGTCATCAGGAAATGCAAATGAAATTCACAAAATACTAGGTTTTTCTGCTATAAGAAGTAAATGAAACAAAGCAGTTGAGCTAACCCTGGGTCAACATGTGGCCCTACGATGCAGACTTAGCCACAGTGCCTCCCCCAGGCCAACAATTCCTGAACCAGTCAATCCCCTGTTGACCAAAACAAGTCTACGAATCACGCATTTGGGTACTGGTCATTGCCAGACTGTTGTAGATGTTCCTAAATATTCAGTCTCACATTCTGTAACTGTCTCATTGCAGAACGGTAACAGTCGATGGTTAGCACAGGTCTGCAGGCAACATTTTTTGAGTATTGGTGACATAACTATTGTTGCCAAAATTCAGTAACCAAGACAATAAGCAGATTCTTTTGCAGAATGAAGCATTCGCCAGGTTTAATTCAGCAAGGTGGGCTGCACTGTTAACTAAGGGTTTTCCTACTTTAAATCAACAGATAGGGAAAAGACCGCTTATTCCAAAATCGCCAAGAAAACTCAAGATAACAGCTTAGGAACTAGAACTGGGTAAAAGAAAGCCGAAGTACACACCTGAAGATAACTTTGTATACTCTTGGAAATAGGAGATGATGCCCAGAAATAATAGCCCGAGGGGAAGCTGGCCAGGAAAAGGTCAGTCAACAATTTGAGAATCTTTTCCCGTTAACCCGAATCTCTGAGAACAGCAAAACCGGTCCCTGGAGAATACACTTAGAAGGTGTGTATCCCCTCCCCGAGGGACTTGGCACAATATTGTTTCTATGCTGAGGTCACAAAAGCATTTTTACAGAAATCAAGGGGTTCAGTCCCTGGGGGTATTGTCTTTCTTATTTCCATCTGCCTCATGGATTTTTCTCCTTCCACTTCTTTTTTTTTTTTTTTTTTTAATTTTTTTAACAGGCAGAGTGGACAGTGAGAGAGAGAGACAGAGAGAAAGGTCTTCCTTTGCCGTTGGTTCACCCTCCAATGGCTGCCGCGGCCAGCGCACTGCGGCCGGCGCACTGCGCTGATCCAATGGCAGGAGCCAGGAGCCAGGAGCCAGGTGCTTTTCCTGGTCTCCCATGGGGTGTAGGGCCCAAGCACCTGGGCCATCCTCCACTGCACTCCCTGGCCACAGCAGAGAGCTGGCCTGGAAGAGGGGCAACCGGGACAGAATCCGGCGCCCCAACCGGGACTAGAACCCGGTGTGCCGGCGCCGCAAGGCGGAGGATTAGCCTAGTGAGCCGCGGCGCCGGCCTCCACTTCTTTCCTTAACCCAGTGATTCTCAACGCTGCCTTTGCAATAGAATCATCTGGAAAAATCTCAACAAATGCTGATGCTTGGGTTCTGCTCCCCGGGAGTCTATTCTACTTGTCTATGATGGCGTCCAGACATTTATGTGGTTTTAAAATCTACCTAGGTAAGTATAATGAACAGGATGGAGATCAAAAATCACTTGACCTTCCATGGGCAGTTGGGTGTAAGCAATGCATCTGTTAGCTACCTTTCTGAACTCCTGTTGTGTGCTGGAGATGTGAGGACAACTTACTGGGAGGCATCCAGCCAGGCTCCTCCAGAACAGAGCTGTCAAAGTGTGGTCCCTTGCCCTGCAGCATCAGGATGACCTATGGATTTGCTGGACAGGTGAATTCTGAGGCCTCACACCAGATCTACTGAATCTGAAACTCTGGGATGCAGACCCAACAAGGTGTGCTTGAAAAAGGCCTCTAGGGGGCTGGAGCCACGGCTCACTAGGCTAATCCTCCGCCTATGGCGTCGGCACACTGGGTTCTAGTCCCAGTTGGGGTGCCAGATTCTGTCCCGGTTGCTCCTCTTCCAGTGCAGCTCTCTGCTGTGGCCTGGGAGTGCAGTGGAGGATGACCCAAGGGCTTGGGCCCTGCACCCGCATGGAAGACCAGGAGAAGCACCTGGCTTCTGGTTTCGGACTGGCGCAGTGCACCAGCCGTAGCGGCCACTTGGTGGGTGAACTAACAGAAAAAGGAAGATAAATAAATAGAAAAAGGCCTCTAAGGATAGGTGTTAAGATGCCCTCATACCCCATTGGAGGACCTGGGTTCAGTTCCTGGCTCTGGCTCCTATTCCAGCTTTCAATTCTTATTTCCATCTGCCTCAGCGATGCCTCAAGTAACTGGGTTCCTGCCTCCCACCTGGGAGACATGGATTGTGTTCTCAGCTCCTGGTTCAAGGCCCAAGCTCTTGCGTACCTCTGGGGAGTGAACCCCAAGGATAAGAACAGATGTGTGTGAACTCTCTTTTTCTGTCTTATCTTTGCCTCTCCATTAAAAAAAAGCTCATTAGGAGGAAGCAAATTTATAGAGACAGAAAGTAGAATGGCTGTTGCCAGGGTAGGTGGGAGAATGAATGGGGAGTCATTATTTAATGGCTGTGGAGCTTCAGTCTGCAAAATGAAGAATACTCTGTGGATGGATGGTGGTGCTACTTGCACAACAATATGTGTGTACTTAATATGACTGAAATGGTAAAAATGGTAAATTCTATATTATATATATATTTCACTTCGAACAACCTTTTCCTAAAACCTGTTAGGTGACTTGGACAGATGCACAGTAAAGCCCTGAGGACTGACCATTCATTCATGCATTCATTCATTATGTTTCATAGCACCTCTGTGTCCAAAGAGATTGTGCCCCTACCCCTGTAGGAACATCATCACTGGCCCTTGGAGTTTAGAGTCCACTGTACAGGCAGACATTAATGAAATGGTTATATGCCGTATTATTTAATGATAATTGTGATTGTACCCCCACAGGTGGTATGGAGTACGGAATGCCATGGGAGCTTATAACCCATCATGGGGCAGTCATGAAACAGAAAACCTCTCTGAGGAAAGGAAACCCTGAAATATGATTAGGGATTCTTCAGGTCAAAGGTTGTGGACACTGCATTCTAGATACAGGGAACAGGTTCTGCAAATGTGTCGAGGCAGGAAGGTGCTGGGCGTGCATGAGGAACTGAGGGAGGACTAGTAGGGTCGCAACAAAGCACATTTGAGGGGGAAACAGTGAGGAATGGGTCTGAGCAGGAGCTGGAGCCATGCTAGGCAGGGCCTTGTGATCACGTCAGGGATGCTGAACTTTATCCCATGGGCAAGGGAGGCTGGTGAAGATTTTGTAAAAAGGGGAGACCAGAGCAGTGCCTCTGGGCTCATGTCAGAGTATTTCTCAAGAGGCCGACTTCACAGATTTGTGATTGGGTCCTGGAGACTCAAACTACCAGTGCCACGGTCAGAGGGGCGAGTTGAACATGCCCCGTCCTTTAAGATCTTTACAGCCAAGTTGAAAAGCCAGAGCTTGCACATACGGAATAACATCCTGAGCATGTTTCCGTATTAATTAAAATGTTACTAAAAATCCAAGTGGCTTAATGTGAATTTATTTCTTGTTAATGCTACATGTGCAAAGGAGGTCAGCAGAAAACTGTTGCACACGGTCGCCCAGGGACCCAGGCTGAGGGCGCCGCAGGATCTAGAGGTATCCTTGCTCACCGCAGGAGGAGAGAACGCTAGAGTGTCAGATACTGGCTGTGGATTCTTGTAACACGTAAGTGCGACACTTTTCACAATGTGAAATCGCTGACTTACAGTCCACTGCCAGGCTTAATCACATGACCTGCTGGACCAGATGGAGGGTTGAAATGTAGACGTACACTGTCTCTGGCAAGCATTCAAGTTCCTATCATCCAATAAAATATGCCAAAGGAGGCAGGTTTCTCACAGGCACTGCTGAGTTACAAACATCCTGTTTGTGGACACCCAGGTGAGGGTGAGCCAAGCCTGACTTGGCCCTGAAAAGATGAGCTGGGTCAAGGAGGTCTGAGTCTTCCTGACAGCCCGGTACCTCAGGGAAGAGCAGTGGTGGGATTGCTCCCTCCTATTCACTGCCCCAGACAGACCAGAGTTTCCTCTAGACTTCTCTCAAGCACCAAACTGTACCTGTTAAATGCTGGATGGATAAGTCCTTCAAAATCATTTAATCCAATCCTCCCTAAGGTGGAGGTAGCCCAGGGCTACCTCAAAGAGAAGTAATTTACCAAATGCCATAAGTTAGTTACTTAGATAAGAATAGAGTCCTGTTTCCTCTCTCCCAGTACTATTCTTACTACCTCCCCAAGAACGTGATAAATTACATACAAAATTTCCAGTCTTCAGAGAAAAAATAATTGACACAAACCTCAAAAATTCAACCCAAGTACACAAAAAGAAAACAACATAAATAAAAAATAGACAATATAAAACATGAAGTAAAGCATCAGAAACAAGCCTAAAAATATTCAACATTACAATAAATGTGAATGGGTAAAATTCTTCTATTAAAAGTCCAAGACTTTTGCTACCCATGATTCAGCCCAGAAATGAAATGACACAGAATGGTTAAAAATAAAAAGAATGACAAGAGAAGCTAATCAAATGGTAATAGACTTGCTGTGGTAATATTGATATCAGAGAAAATAAAAATTTTTAATTAAAACTTTAAATATGACAATCAAATTAGGAGCCTTGGTTGCTTTTCTAGTCAAAAAAATTGCAGTCCTAAGAAATCAAAGCTTAGGTTGTATAAGGGTCACCAATATTTGAAAGATGATGTGAAATATCTGAGAGATGTGTGTGGGTTTGGGTGTGCGTGTGTGTATAAATGTGTGCATGTCCTGTGTGACCCAACTGCTTCTGGGCTCTATAAATCTATCTCACTTCCTTTTAAAAATACTTAGTCACAGTACTACACTGAGCTTAACTCTCTGTCCTCCAAGAGCTGACCAGCTCATGGGTATCTCTACAGAACAGCACCATCCCAACAGCGTGCAGAATTCTTCCAGTGAGGAAGCCAATATACACTCACACAAAACCTCGGAGAAAGGGGAATAACAATTTCTCTGTGCTGTGTGAGACTAACTCGGAGGATCAATGCCTGATCCTCACAGCACAACCATGGTTGCAAAGCACACTGGGGAAACTCCAGAACTCCCAACTACTTTTTCAAGGGGCAGCCAGCTCCCTAGACACAGGGCTGGGCCTGGTGTGACCCCAGCTGCTGAGAATTCCCTCACAGCCCCTGCCTTGCTAGGTGTTTCCAAAGCACATATCCCAAGGCCCACACTAGGACCGTCCACTTCCCATTTTGAGGAGTGAGTGCCGCACATATGAGTTTGTTAAGCACTTCTACTGAAGGAAAGAAACAGAAACAGCCTCCTAACATGGCCCAAGCAGTCCTCCCTTGTCTGCACTTCTATAGCAGGGCACACGGCACAGGGCAGCAGAGGGCCTTGGCAGCATGTCGGCGAACAACACAGCCTCATAATCTCTGCTCCCATCCATCACAACTCCATGCCAAAGCGTTAATGGGGGCATGCTAGACACTGGGTATGTATGGCCTGGGCCACTAGCTGTAGCTGGGTCTTTATTTCTAAGACATCAAGGAGCCATGGGGCTGGCTGCTTGGGAGTGGCAGGCTTGTGGGGAGGAGGGTGTTGAATGAGGCTACACGAGAAGCTGGAGGGAAAGATCATTTCCGTAGTGGGACTTGGGGTCAGACGAGAACTGCAGCCGCTGCTGGGAACTTGACCGCCCGGCTCTGTGTCTTTTGTTGCCTCCAATTGTCCCTCCCGCAGTCCACCGTGGGGACCCCTGAATGCACTGCACACATTTTTGGCAGGCTGGCCTCGGTGCTGGGCTGGCATTCATTAATCTGCCTGCCATCAGGCCCCTGTGAAAAGAGGAAATTGATTCACACTCGCCAAGAGACAAGGGGAAGAGGGGTTTGGAGCGGGACGAAGGCCCAGACTGGAGCCCGGCAGCCGGGCCTGGGGTGCTGGGGCCGCGGCGTCACCTCCACTGTGCCAGGGAGAGCAGCCCCTTTGGGAAGCAGGGAAGCCCTTCCTTGCAAGGACCTTGCAATTCAGGCAGCTCGACCGCTAATTAACCCAGTAATGGGGGCTGGCTGGGGTTGCTCAGCCTGAAAGCGTGGGTCTGAAACAATCAGGGCCTGTTTTCTGACAGAGATGACAAATGGAAGGGGCTGAGAGCAGACAGCGAGGCCAGGACAAATTGCTGTAAGGGACCAGAAGGGCAGGCTCTCGAAGTTAGGGGAAGACGCCAGTGTCACCGGGCCCATGTGGGGCCTCCCTTTCAGCCCCTCTCTCAGCACAGCCCTCAAGGCCACATCCAAGCAGCCTCCCCCGCCAGCATAGGGCTGAGCCCTCTGTGCTTCTGGGACGAGTGGCGCTCCGAAAGGCATGGGGCCGCTCACCCTTGATGATGTCTAGGTCCCCATTATCACGTGTGATAGGAAAGGAGTTGCAATCTATAATACAAGAAAGATCCCTAGCAGAACACAGCCCCTCCTTCAGCTGGGAACGCCCTGCAGAGCGGGGCTGGGAAAAGCTGGCTCCGTGCAACAAAGGGGAGAGCTTGGAGCAGCCAGGAGCAAACCAGGAGGGAGTGGGGAAGAGAGGTGGAACAAAGACAAGATGGCAGCCAGATGCCAAAGGCCCAGCCCCGGCCTTGGGGATTCACAGGTCACATGAGGGTCGCACTATCATGGTGACAGTCCCATTCTTTGACTGGCTCCCTCAGTCCCTGTCCACCCACCTGAATATCCAAATGTGTTCCTCGTGTCTTTTCCCTGTTTTCTAAGTGGTAGCAGACAAACAGTAGAACGCTCTACAGCCGTGTGTCTTATGATGCTTTAAGTCATTGATGGACCCCAAATCCAATGGTGTCCCCGTAAGATCAGGAGCTGAGGGGCAGGCACTCAGCACAGTGGACGATGGCTGCTTGGGATGCCTGCATTCCATTAAGGTGCCCGGGTTTGAGTCTCAATCCCATCTCCGTTTCCAGCTTCCTGTTCATGTCCACTCTAAATGGTGGCAGGTGATGTGCAAATACTTGGGTCCCTGCCACACATGTAGGAGACGCAGCAATTGTGGGTATTTGAGGAGTGAACTGGCAGATGGAAGATCTCTCCAGGTCCATCTTTCTCTCTCTGTTGCTGTGCTTTTCAAATAACTCAAAAATAAAGTTTCACAGATTAGGAGCTGCAAAAGCCCTATTGTCCAATGACATTGTAGCCACCAAAATGTTGTAGTAAGGCATATTTCTCAGATGTTTTTGTGAACAAACCTACTGTGCTATCAATCATGCAAAAGTATGGCACACACAATTATGTACAGTGCATAATACTGGAGAATAACAAACAATCCTGGTATTATTCCCATATTACTGCACTATCTATCGTTATTTTGAAGTGTGCTTCTACGTGCAAAAAAGTTTAACTAACAGAATAAGCTGTGCAGCACTGGCGGCGGCCGCATACTCCTTTTGCATCTCCTGATTGCATTAAGAAGCCACAGTTTATTTTTTTAATGCACGTGCTCTTCAGCTGATGGGTATCCCACTTGCCTCCTCTTTGGGGCCATGATGAATGAGGTTGCCGTGAACACTCACTTCCGGGTTTTTGGGTGTGCCTGTGTTTCTGTTCTCCCCCATCATATCTAGGAGTGAAACTACCAGATTATATGGTAACTCCATGCTCGACCACTTGAGGAAGTGGCCAAACTGTTGTCCAAAATTGCTGCTCCATTTAATTCTCAGCAAAGGCACTTGGGAAGTGTCAAAGTAGGTGAATGGTTGCAAGTTCGTATCACTCGCTGAAATGGCAGGGCTCTCTGACCAGGGCAGTAACTTCGACAGTATGAAGTGTCTAAAGTAACACTCCCCTCCAGCCTCTCTGCCACGGCCCCTCCCAGAGGAGCGCTAGGAACAGCCGGCAAGAGGCCATCTGCCCTGTTTCCTTCGCTCAGCACGCACATATCAAACTTGCGGGGGCAGATGTTTGGCACAGTGGGTAAGACGCCACTTGGATGCCTCCACTGCCTGTCAGAGTGCCTGGGCTTGAGTTCCAGCTCCGCTCCTGATTCCAGCTTCCTGATGATGCGCGCTCCAGGAGGGAGCAGGAGGGAGCAGGTGGTGACTCACGCAGTACTGGGGCCCTGTCACCGGCATGGGAGACCTGCACTGAGTTCAGGGATCCTGGCTTTGGCCTGGCCCAGCTATTGTGGACGTTTGGGAAGTAAACCAACAGATGAAAAATCTGTCTCTCCCCGCCTGTGCCTTTCAAAGAACTCTTTCATTAGACTTACATACTTTTATCAATATGAAAATGCATTCTTCATATGCATGGGATTTCTTTATTAAGTTTTGTATTTTTAAAATTGCGGTAAAATACCATTTTAATCATTTTCACAAAATCCCATAAGAGTACAATCATACAACATTTCTCCCTTGGTGACTAGCTTATTTCACTTAACATATTGTCTTCAGTTTCATCCATGGTGTAGCATGTGTCAGAAGTCCCTTCCTTTTAAGGTTGAATAAATAAAATTCTATATATCCCACATTTTATATATTTATCCATCCATCAATGGACACTTGGGCTGCTTCCACTCTTGGTCATTGTGAACAACGCTGCCATGAATGTGGGTGTACAAATCTCTTTTCATGTCCCTGTTTTCTGTTACTTTAAGTATATATCTTCTAATATTCTTTTTTTAAAAAAATTATTTATGGATTTGAAAGGCAGAGTTAGAGAGAGAGAGGATCAATCTTCCATCTACTGTTGCACTCCCCAAATGGCCACAACAGCCAGAATGGGCCAGGCTGAAGCCAGGAGCCTGGAGCTTCTTCCGGGTCTCCCATGTGGGTGCCTGGGTCCAAGCACTTGGGCCATCCCCCACTGCTTTCCCAGGCACATTAGCAAGGAGCTGGATTAGAAATGGAACAACCAGAACTCAAACTGGTACCCATAGCGGATGCTGGCGTTACAGGCAGTGGCTTTACCCACTACACACTACAATGCCAGCCCCTGACATCCTTTTTTTAAAAATTAAGTAACTTTTTAAAAATATTTATCCATTTACTTGAAAGTCAGAGTTACACAGAGAGAGGAGAGGCGGGGGGGGGGGGAGGTCCTCCATCTGCTGGTTTGCTCCCCAGATGGCGACAACAGCCAGAGCTGCGCCAATCCAAAGCCAGGAGCCAGGAGCTTCCTCCAGGTCTCCCACGTGGGTGCAGGGACTCAACGACTTGGGCCATCTTCTACTGCTATCCCAGGCCATAGCAGAGAGCTGGATTGGAAGTGGAGCAGCTGGGTGTCGAACCAGCGCCCATATGGGATGCTGGCATTTCAGGCCAGGGCGTTAACCCGCTGCGCCACAGCACTGGCCCCAAGTAACTTCTTATTGAAGTATGCATTGCATTAAAATCTTAACAGCACACTGATGTGGTTCTTCTGTTACTAAATCACCTTCATGCTCAGATGGCTCCATTTTCATGCAGAGTGTTTTATAATCGACCTTACCTTCTCCATTCGCGGACATTGAACATAAATTACTAGAGGATGTTTGCTGTGGTGCAAACCTCTTCACATAATCCCTTGAGATGGATATTCATGTTAGCGCCATTTCAGAGACAATGAACTTGAGAGGTAGAGCTGAAGTAACTTGTGCAAGGCTATTCTACTGCTAAGTACTAAGGTTAGAAATCAAAGCATATCTGGCTCCCAAGCCTGCTTGCTTAATCTCGGTATCCTAACTAGGAACGTTCCTGATGGTCTGTTTTTTCAGTTGGCCAAGGAATGGCCTGTGAAGGGGTGAGGGGAAGGGCAGTGGGAAGGGAGGTGGACTGGACCTTCTAGGAGCCATGGGGCTGATTCTCCAGCAAGGGCAGAGCTACTGTTCTGCAATGGATCTCCTTTCTCAGAGGTGAGGTTTCACACAGCCCAGAAACCCACTCCAAGAGGTGGGATCTGCCAGATCACACTTCCTTCTCTGTAACATCTCACTTGCCAATTCTGCCTCCCCCGACTCCACCACCATACTCCTCCAGACCATCCAGGTTCAGAAACCAGAAACCCAGCTCAGACTCACTTACACAAATGAAAAGATTTGGGCACTCCTTTAACTGGGAAAGTAGGCGTGCATCTGACCTCCATCACGATTGGATCCAGGGGCTTGGATGATGTCATCAGGCTCTTAGCTTTGCTACCCTCCAGGTGATGACTTAGCTCTGTCCCGTAGGAGATAGTCTTTCTCCATAAAGTGGGAAAGCTGGCCATCAGTAACCCCAAAACCATGGATTCAAAGCTCAGCTCTTCCACCAGAAGGAGGACCAGTTGCAGTCTCCCAGCTTCCATATAGCTATCTCAGGGAAGGACTCTGATTGGCCCTGCTCAGGCCATATGCTAATTTTTTAACCAATCATATGGCTAGGAAGAGGCAGTATCAGAACTTCGGAAACTTAGGAAAGGACAAGGAAAATGGTTTGAGCTACTAGAGAAAGCAGAGGAGGAAGCAAGTGTGCTATGCATTCAGAAATAACAGCCACTCCCA